AGACCGGGACCTGCGGCTAAGTTCTGATGAAATCGGACTCTCACCTTAACTCACATTCCGCCGGGATTGCATCAGCTGCCGACGAGGGCGCGGCGACCGCGGCGTGGTTTCGTGTCGTGCGGGCTGCCTAAATTTGTCGTGTGCCGCAGCCGGCAGGTGCCTCCTCCACTCACGCTCGCTCTCGCCTTTTCATTTGGACCCAGCCTTGGCGCCGGCGCCTCCGCTGCTGCCAGTTTCACTTACGGAATCCGCTTATTTCACTCCAATTCAAATCCAGTATTCGCTAGTCCGGCAACACTGCGCGCCGATCGCTTCCCGCCACTTTTCGTCTCGCCGACCACGTGCGTGCGGCCGTGCAACGCAAAAACGCCGTAAACGCCATTTTACATTTTTTTTAAAACAATGTATCATTATCATAGCGGAAAAACTTGTGCGCCTTGGGGCAATGTTTTTACAGAATTCCCTCGCAAATACTATCAAGAACTTAACCTGAAAATTTGAGGTACATGGGAAAAACACTTTTTATTTTATAAAGAGTTAACTTCCAAAAAACGAGGAGAATCTTGATGGATTTACGGCGTTCTTGCTTAGCACGGCAGTGTGGTATTTCGTTACAGTATCCATGCTATGCTGTGCTTTTAACGTAAAGACTGAATTGTATTCTGTCGTGGTAAGTAAAAACGTCGTTAGGCATTTGAATGTTGCCAAAATTCCACTCAAAAAATGTTTATTTGTGAAGAAAGTTAAGAATATTTTTCTTCGGAATTTTCAGACCAACCAGATCAAATTACGAACGAAATACACTGAAAAATCGAAAGGGAAATATTCACAAATTTTCCTGAAAATCCGTTATTTGTCGAAAGAAAATTTGGCAACGCCTGATGGCACGTACGGCATTTTCCCTTGACATGGCAATATCACACTCCGTCAAAAATTACCGATTTTCTGGAAAATATTTTTGAGAAAGAAATCTGCGTGAGAAAGAGAACTTTGATCGGATTTGGTCAAACTTCTCTCATGGATGCAAACTGGACAGAATCAAACAGGAAAGTACCGAATCACGAGAGACGATTTCCCTTCCGCGGGAAAATTCCGTTTCCGGACGATAAACATCCTCGACTTTTTGCAAATGCGCGGTGGAAGGGAATCTGAAAATTTTGGAGCAAATTTGACCGTAAAATCTCAAAAATTAAAGGAGACATAGGTCCTCAAGAGTTCCGAGACAACGTATTTTAGGTTTTAGAAAAACGTGGTTTAAGTGTTAAAGTTGCGGACATTTTTTTCCCAAAAGAAAAGGTCCTTTCTCACAGATCCCGCCCCAAACGTTTTAGGAATAAATATGAGAAACCGAGCCAAAAGGACACAGGAAAATTGAGGAGATCACGACGCAAAAGTGTGGTTTTTAAAAAAAATTAAGACATTAGTAATTTCGATTTAAACTAGTCGTAAAAAGTATTCTGTGAAAAAATTGAAATCAAATTTATATGCATCAAAATGTGAGTTTGAACTTTTCCTCTGACATAGGCTCCATGTAATTTTGAGACTTCAAAAAGGTATTTCTCGCAATATCAAAAACCGGACTTTTGCATTTGATAGGTTCCCCGAAATCGAGGATTTTAGCCCATAGTAAGAGTTTAGTTAAATGCAGCATTGCACCCGCACAGCCCAAGGCACGTTGCTTTTCGTCTCTGTCACTGTCACATGGTGCGTTGTCGTGTCTATTTTTACTGCCAGACTACCAGACTATAACGCGTCTGCGGTTGTTACGCTACTCACGGTGTGGATTGATGAGAGAAAATTCACACCCAGAAGGAGAGGAGAAAGGGGACGGGAAACTCAAGTTATGACGTGATTTGAGATCATTGAGCAGGTTTAAACCGGAATTTTAGGACACGATGTACAAAATTTTCGAAGCTGACATGACATAATTCCCTCCGTCCGGCGCACAAAAAACAGCAGTTGCAAAATATTTAGCAGGTGTGAAAATACAGAACTTTTCACTGAAAATAAAAGCTTTCTTGAGACATTGCATGCTGCATTAAAGGCCTGACCCACGTGTAGGAGGAAATATACCATAAATAAATGTCCGTTGCCTCGGTTTGTGCGAGTTTGTTGTTTTTGCGGTGAAATTCAAAAGTGCATTTCGTCTGAGTTGTGATGAAGCAGCAATCAAAAAAAAATTTGAAAAACCTCACGCAGAATAGGAAAGCAGCCTTATGATTTAAATATATGAATGTCCACAAATTAATGGTAGCCAAAATTTAAGACTTGAAAAATACGAATCCTATTTGCAGTCTAGAGAAGAATCTAAAACATCATCAAATCAAATCAAAATCAAAAAAAAAAAAATCAAATCAATCAATCAATCATCAAATCAATCATTGATTTTTGTCCGCATTTCAATGCCGTTAAGGGTTCGGATTTTTTCTATTTATTTATTTACTTATTCATTTATTGACAAGACTGATACTTGAATAACTAGTAATAGCAAACGAATAAAAAAAGCAACACGTACAAATATTTGGAAATTTAAGCGTCTCTCTAACACGTATTGTGCTTGTGCAAGAGGTGTTTAATCTGTCTAGACAAGAATATCGATATTTTACGGGAAGGGGAGCAGACAGAGGGACCACGGTAGAACTTAAAACATACCCGTCCCACTTCAGACCGACCATTGATAAGCTATTAAAATAAATCTTGATGATAAGTCCAATTTGCACAGTATTATTTATATACCTCTCACGACCTAAGCAACCAATTTTCACTAACCGATAAGGAAATCATGACCCGACCACACAATAATTTGCAATTTGAAAGCTGTCAAGCACAGGTGATGTTTTCCATAAGTGGACATTACTTCAGTAGGAGAGAAGTACTCTTATGTTCAAGTGTAGCTTGCCTTATTATAAACCGAAAAAAATCACTAGTGACTGTTTTAAAATTGCCTCTATGTTGGGTTTATATTCTCTGCATAATGTAACCGTTATACCTTCCAGATGCAAGAAATGTAACACAAATAAAACTTGCTAATAATTATAAAAGAGCCCAACGGGAATAATTGAGAAGAAGAAAAATAAAAACCACATGGTGAGGAAAAATAATAATTACATTCCCTCGATAATATCTGCCAATGAATGCAACGACACGACGTGTTGCGAATTGTTTACTTGTAGCGCCTTGATGCAACTATTCGGGCTTAATGAACGTGCGTGGTGCGTTTTAAAAATTGAAGGCGCTCTGCAGCCTTTTTGTTAAAATCGAATATTAGACGAAAACTTTACGCGCAGGCTTGCACAAAATAGTGCCTACGGCTTCCCTGCCTCACACAGAAGGAAATGGTACGTCTCTTTATAAACATTTTAACTTTTGGAGTGCACTATCTCGGCAAAGGAGCCAGGAGCCCACTTGAAATGGCCCATCTTTGGGTGGCCAGGAGCTCTAACACAGCTAAAGCGCCTTCAATTCTTGAAACGCAGCACGCACGTTCATTAAGCACGAATAGTTGCATGAAGGCGCAACAAGTAAGCGATGCGCAAAATTAAGGAAAACCTATCGATTTTTAACAACTTTTTTTTTTAATTTCTATGATCATTTTGCATGTTTACTGATGTGTATGTTTTTAGCACAACAACCCCCTTCAGAGTCAATGTTATGATTATCTTTAAACATGGATGCGACTCATCATTGTACAATTGAATATTATTATTTTTCGAATGGTGTTGGTATCGTTTAATATCAGACGTACTATCATCAAAATGAAAACTATGATATTTTCTTCGAATAACGCTCAAAATTAATTGATACTTAGTAGCCGTGAGCGAGAATCACCGTAGTTTGAAGGAATTGAGACTTGAGAATGTTTTAAAATTATTATAAATTTTATTTCATGTACGTCACCTGTGGCGGAAAACAAATCAACGTGGCATCCGCGCCATTTCATGTCTAAGTGGGTCAAGTTTATATATTTGATTTTTTCTTCTTCTTTTTTATGTATGTTTTATCCGCATGTACAATGAATGAAAGCATGTTTAGCCGAGATGAATTTAGCGTGACATTTAAATTAGTTCTCTCAGAGTAGATGAGTCATACTATTGGCTCGATTTGACCTAAAAATATGTGTGCCCTCCGAACGGCTAATGAACCGGAGACGATTCTTAAGTTAATCCATTGATATACCGAACATGATATTTTCGTCGTAAAATTTCAGAAACATGTATTACCTGAACACGATACTATTCTAGAAAAAGAAAATTGGTAAGCACTTATAATTCGTGTGCATTTTTAAGGAATGCTATGTAGACTCGAGTTACAGTGCATCACCTTAAAAGTAATGATCGTTGAAAATTATTGCTATCGAAAATTTGAATAAAAATATAAATTTTCATTTTGTTTCCCTTTAAGAACCAGAACTTTGATAGAGGATAGGTTAGATAATAATCCTTGGTGGATGCGCGATGGAAAAATTCCAATGGTTTGGAATCACTAAGCACACGATCAGTTTAGACACGGTAATACTTTCGCACACATTTCATTCGTTTGTTCATTGATTTATTTACATTTATTTGTTTCATTCAATTTTTTTTTATATTTAATGCCCCACTCAAAGCCCAGTTTACGTATTTTGCGAAGTTATCTCTCGTCCGTTTTTAAATAAACGGAACAGACTACATCCTGACTAAGGCGACTTTCATAAGCACGATGTAAAATCTAACACGACTTATAGTAACTTACTCAAAGTGTAGTAATATTTACCAGAAGTATGACTATAATAATAAAAAAAAATAAATGAAAAATAAAAACGCGTGCAAGTGGACTAAGACGACTTTTTTAAGCACGGTGTAGAATCTAACACGTCTCATAGAAACCTACTCAAAGTATGGTAATATTTACCAGAGGGACGATAAAAAAAAATGAATGAAAAATAAAAACGCGTGCAAGTAGACAGTAAATGCAAACTCTTGTTCGGGGAGAAGGCGATGGAAAAAATGAATGAAACTCACGTTGATCCTTCTGAGGAGGAGTGCACTTTCGACAGGGATGGCGATGAGGCTGAAGGCCACGATGCAGATAAGGGCAGCGGCGACGGTCTGGCAGGCGGAACTGGAATTCCTGGTCCTGGCGTTCCCGCAGGAATGGCTGGCCGAGGCGGCGGTGGGTTTGCCGGCCTGGCAGGCGCTGGGAAGCTGGTAGCAGTCAGTCGAGGACTTTTCCATTTCGCGAACTTGGGCAGAGGTTGAACGGACGAGAGAGGAACGAGCGAACTCGGAAATCCGGAAGGCACTGAGGGCGCGAGAAACTGAGGAAGAAAGTAGGAGAGATTGCGCGGATAGCTAGCACTCGCAATGTGTACAAACACTGTGAGAGGACAGGACCATTACGTGGTTCTTATACCTTTACGCTTCCGACGGCTCCTCCGAGGGGAGGGGGAGGGGGAGGTACCCCAGCGCGCCGTGGTGGGGGGCGCCTGAGGGGAGTTTTATTTTATGTATTTCCAGTTGGTCGCGCTAGCCTTTACGGCGCGCATAGGTCGCTGCCTGGCGTTATGCACCGCGTCGCACCGCGTTCGGCCCTGTCCTGTCCCTCCCATGAGCTTGCTCTCAGTCGAGTGCACCGCTCCCTCCCGTGATATCCGAGTTTCCAGCATTTGCAAGTGTCTCAAAGTTTCAGCTTCCGACTTTAAATCGCTCGGCGGGGGATCCGAAAATCGAACACCTACCTAAAAAAAATAAAATTTTCTTTTTTCAACCGATTTTTCTAGTTTCACTGTAAGCTCTTCCAAATGTCTTCCAAATTTTCCTTGTGCAGTTTTGTTGTTAGGCAAAACGTTTTCACGGATCTGGCTGTTTCCTTGGAAAATTTAACACCACCTAGTGCGACGCACACAAAAAAAAATAAGAATAATAATAATAACCAAACAATTTTAAAGTTTTAACCCCAATTTTGAGTTTTTTTACTCCAATGTTAAAGTTTTAATCCCAATTTTAAATTTTTTACTCCAATTTTAAAGTTTTAATCCCAATTTTAAATCTTTAACTTGAATTCTTTTAAGGACTCTCCTTTGCAAAGAATTGCCGGGGGAGGACTAAATATCTACCGGCCTCGAGCTGTGAATTGAGATACGAGAACATAATAATAAAAAACTCATCGGCACAAATATTTTTATATCAACACCTATCTCTTAAGATACGCAGGGTCCAACTCTTAATTTTCGATTTTTGAGCGGTAGCAAGTGACCTAAAGTTCATATCTTCCAAAACTTAAAGTTTTAAGTAAGCCATCCAATAATCAAACATACAAGAAACCTCACTTTTTAAAACAGCATGAAATTCAAGATTTTAACACCTTCCTCTTTCTTGAAGCATGGTACCACTTGTGATTTTCGAGTTTGAAGCACTTGTAAATGTTTCAACATCCAATCCCTACAAACTTAAACGGAGTGTGCGCGGCAACTGTCCTTTAGTGAGGCACCAACGAATAAATGAATAATAAATTTAATAGAAAATTTTTCTTTCTCAAACTTCCCCAAGAGCATGAAAATTGAAAGTTCAGTGATATCCTCTCAAATCTCAAATTCATTCTAAGTGGCTCTACTCGTGATTTTCAAGTTTGAATCATGCGCATGTGCCTCAAAGTTTGTTCCTTTCAAAACTTTGCGAGGCATTTAAACATCAAATGTACAAAATTCCACCTTTTCAAGCTTTTCCAGCAGCGTGATCATCAGAAATTTTGGCATTTTCCTTTCAAAATAATGCATGGTTCCACCCTTGATTTCCTAGTGCGAATATCTGCAATTGTCTCGATTTTTATCTCTTCCAAGATTTAATTTTCTCATCAATGCATAAAAAATTCATACTTAGGAAACTTTGTTATCTCAAACTTTTCAAATAACATTAAAATCAAAGTTCAGCACCATTCTTGTTAATTAAGCCTAGTTCCAGCCGTGATTTCAGAGCTAAGCGTTTGCAAATGTCTCAAAGATTATTCCATCCACAACTTAATTTTTTTAGGAGCACCTACATAAAAAAAAAATCAAATGTACAGTAAACTAGACTTGCTTTTACATCTCAAAGAGAATGAAAATGAAAATCTCAGTATATCTCTGTCTTAGATTGACCATGGGCTCATTCCTGATAACCGTGTTTGCAACATCTGCGAGTGCCTCAAATTTTAATCTTTCCAAAAAATGATTGGTATTCTTAGTGAGGCAACCAAAAACTAACATCTCGACTTTTTTCTCTCAAATGAACCGTTCCACCCGTGATTTTTGAATTCGGAACACTTCAAGTGAATCAAAGTTTTATCTTTGCATAATTTAAAATCATTATTTTTCAAAAAACATGAAAATGTCTTTCTTCTCAAATGCAACACATAGAATCAAAAGAACGTAAATCCACTTTTGGACGAGGTTGAGTGACATTACCAAATAATAATTTTCAAAAAGAAAAAAAAAATCAAAATTGAATTTTGGAATCACTCAAAGGGAAAAGGATGAATTCCATCAAAGTTTTGAAATTTTCAAATAATGAGCTGAAACTAAAAAATATGGACACATGCACTCATAAATGTGTGTCGGCATTTTCAAAATTCATTACTTTCCTTATAACCTGTGTTCCACAAAAAATATCTCAGGCTATACACCCGCAAAATGTCAATCAAAAGTGCATAAATCAATTAAAATTGTTAAATATCAACGTTTTCGGATCAAAAGTGCATGAACCCATCGTTAATGGTTGAATCACTAAAGAACTACCCTGCAAGCACACCCCTCAAATTTTCAGGACTGTTTCATTTAAATTTAAGCCTCTCCTTACCTTAATCCCCAGCTGTGGAAAATCCATCCACCGAAGACTGAATAGTAGTGTTTTGAGTTTATTTGAAAGTTTGAAAAAGTGGATTTGTGCAGTTTTGATCCTTCACGCTTAATGTAGTTTAAAATATCGCCAATTAGATTGCCTTAGACCAGAAAAAACGGCTTCGACTTTATTTTGCCTGAATGCGCATGTTTATCGGATTGTTTCAAAATTGCCGCGGCCATGCAGTCCATTTATGTGCGGATGCATGGATCATCAAGAAAAATCATCAAAAAATCATTGAATTTAGCTAGTCGTGAGAGGAAGTTATGAGTTTTGCTCGTAGGGAATTAACGGAAATTATCATTTTTTGTCTCCTCCGAAACGTTAAGGTGACCTACGACTTAGTGAAAAAATGTGTTTGTATTGTGTTTCAAGCAAGTTGAACAAAGTGGGCAAATGATTTAAATAATTTCGATCTCACCTTCAGTTTCATACGAGTATGCTAAATTGCAATTAAGATTTTCAGAAGATTTAAGATGTTCCCAAAATTGCGAAAAAATGGAAGGAAACCATAGGGTTCGATTTTTTATTCTAAACGAATTAGGAGGCCGCGGAAAATTCTTTCTTCAATGATAGGCCGTTGCAAACTTCGCGTAGTATTTTATTTTGATGAAAGAAAACCAAAATGTTTTAATCTACGTTATTTCGTGAGAAATTTCTTGCCTTTAAAAAATGAAAATCGGTGAAACATAGCACACCGTTGATTGTTTTGTGTCAATTGGTAGTTATTTTGTTGTCTGCAAAATTTGAGGAGTTTAACTTAAAAATATAATTTTTGTTGATTCGTCATTGAAATTTTTCACGTAATTTAGGTCCAAAAATACTTTAGGTTTTTCAAATTTTCACATGATAAAAAAGACGTTCATAGAGATTTATGGATCTTCTTTGGAGAAATAACTCAACACGCAACTTCATATGAGTAGATACAATAAAGTAATATACCTATACACTCTCTCGTTCTCTCAGGTACATCTGTTTTGATTCCACCCCATGAAGGTATCTTTCCTTAATAGCCTCGTAATTTCAGAAAAAATTAAAGTAGCCTGAGCTAATTTCAACAAATGTAAATTCTCAATTTTTCTAGAATCCATTTTTTTTACTGGTTTCAATACATGTTCTCAGTTGTGCTTCGCGTTAAATTTAAGGCCACTCATTTTTGCAGCGCGCGCTGAATAATTTGGTGAGGAAACTGATTTTATATAATTCGAAATCGTGATTATGAGATTTCAGCTAAATGAGAGTTGCCAATAAGATAATTGAAGACTTCTCCATTCATCGGGAAGACTTTGAATCATACGAATGATTGAAATTGATTTTACAGTATTGATAAAGGGTTTTTTTTTAGTTAGATTGTGAAGGTAATATAAGATAATTCTCCATAAAGCATGCTACTTGAAAGTATCTCATAATCGATATGTTTTGCAATAGAGCACCTTTATTGGTAAAAGAAGGGGGGGAAACCCCATCAAAATTTACTCAGAACTTATTTTAAAAGGTGGAACTTTGAAAATTCATGAAAGCCTGAAATTTATCGACCAATTAATGAGCGGCACTTTTTTTTAATTCAAAGTATTGAGGTGGCAATAATTTCTTCACACAGATGTGTGCTCTGTAATTGCTCTGTTATTCGGGTGCTAAAACTAACGACAACTCTCGTGCATTTCTGATGAGGGGAGAAAAGCGGAAGTGCCTTCAATTTTTGAGTATGCAACACGCACATCCTTGGACCACGAATAGTTGCATCAAGGCGCCACAATCAACTCAGTGTAGTCTTCGTAGGCTGATATCCTAACCGAATTATTCGTCGCCCTCGCGACGAAGAGGCGTATCAAGATTTTGACTACTTTTCAGGAGAGCAAAAATAAGATTTTGAAGAACTTAATTCCTTCGCCGCTACGTCCGTAATTAACGTATCTGATTTTTTTTTTCGCATTCAGCGCCGGAAAAAGATCAGGATTTTAAATATCACATTGAATTTGTAAAATTATGCCTAGCAGCCCTGATATCATTGAAATATTAGAAAAGGGTCCTGATACGCCCGTTGGCGGAACACTGAATTGGGCACCTCCGAGTAGAATCAAATAAGTTTTGCTCTACCATGTCTCCCGACTTTTTAGCCCTTCAAAATGGAAAAATCTGACCTTTTTTTTGAATTTGTTCAAAATTTTACGCTTAATCAGATCCCAACATCGTTTTAGGCAGTTTTTGCCATTTAATATCAGAATTTTGGCCCTAAACAGCTGAAATGTCCTGTACCGTAGCCTGTCTGCGACTCAAGTGCGCAACTTTAACGCTTCATAACCATCATCTTGCATCTAAATACTTCCACTTCTGCTGTAAATTCACACTCAACTTGTACCTAACTTATTATTTTCAGTTATATTCATCCAAATAAGTGAAAATATTGACCGTCTTTGCGTCAAGCAGCCTTGTCTGCGGAATTCGCGTCCTGTACCGTAGCCCCCTTTTTTCAGCATCATTTCGTCCGTTAGAGTGCAGCACTTATGAACTTTGTTTGC